AGATCTATTATATGAATCCAAGGATACAAAATAGAATTATTTTTGCTTGTTGCTATAGATGGAACATCATGGAGGTAGTTTTAGCCTTTTGTAATGGAAGTATTCAAAATGGCGGTTGCTGAGCTCTCGTGGCTTCGCCAAACAATTCTCTTTCCTCCTTTTTTTTCTCTTTAAGATTCCATATGTTTATCTTTACTTGAAAGAGAGCGGTACGAAAATAACATTAGCAGATGTATAACGTTCCCTACGTTCCAGGTCTGCATACATAATTACACGCTCCCCACGACACATAGTTTGTTGGCAGGCAGCATGATGAAAAGCCTTTCCTCGGAGTGTATTTTACGCTCCAGATTGATGCATTACCGGCATTACAGAACAATGTAACGGAGCCGGGGGAACACAGTCTCTTTCATCCTCCCAAGACTTTGTGACACGAAATTGCCATAAATAGCTGGATGAGTGATTAAAGTGAGAGGTTTGATACTGATCTCATGGAAGGCATTCTTATATCTTCTGTTTGTCAACCACTATTTACACTTTATATTTTTGTGTTGCCATGGTGATCGGGACTCTTGTTACTCGAAGACATGTTCATTTCCATATGGAGCCCCATAACATGTAGAGTCAATGAATATGCACACACAGAAATATGGAACAAGGAGCAGGTAAAGGACTCTTACCAATATCCTTCCCTTCGGTATTTTTCTATTCCTGAGTGTTACATTACAGCTTAAAGAGTCACTTTTATCAAAAACTCTGTATCTCAGCTGACCATACACCATTCACTCTTCACCCTTGTCAAATGATTAAAGAGAAGGACAGACCCAGATGGAGACAAGTCAGGCTTTTCACTTCTCTGGCCTGCTGAGGGCCCTCAGTGTTGAAGTTCCAGTAGAACTGAGGTGTTCTTTAAAGCACCGGGCGTGCATCAGGCCCAGCCACAAAAAAAAAAAAATGGCCGTGTGCCAAGCTTAGAGGAGAGATGGAATTTTACTAATCTTTCTCCCACTTTGTTTGTTTACGTCAAAAGTCTGTTTCCCCTTTTAAGAGAGATCCCAACATGGAATGATGGTAAATATCAATATATTCAATAAAAGTATTTTCATTCCAAACATTTGCAAACACCATAAATACACATCGGCCAAACATCTAAAATCCTTAAAAAAATACCCTACACCTGGCTCTGTAAAGATGCAATAATCATGGATAACACTATATATCAGTATAATATTTATTTGTTTGTTTTCTTCCAGTGTTCCTTCTCCTCCTTTTTATATTGCTTTCCCAAAGGTAGTAAGCCAGTCCATGTGCCTGCATTTTGGCCTTTAGCTTCAGACAAAGGTTCTAATACCATTTCTGTCCAACAGGACTATCTGAAGGGCAAAGTCCCTCTTTGAGTCTCTTTAAAGCTCACCATTCAACTTTCTTATACTCCTCTCCTTAGCTGTTCTATGGGTCCATATGTCGAACACCATGTAAGCTCCAGGTCGTGGTGTTAAGGCATGGCAGCTGACCACTAGGCAAAAAATTGCACAACTGTAGGAGGTCACCCTCTCCTCCATACTTGGTAGCACCAGGTACTGTGTAGTGGCTCCAATGGAGCACCAGAGGTGAGAAGGGAAGGTGGGTGAATAGGAGTGCTTGAAAGAGACACTCAACAGAGCATCCATCCTTGCATCCAGTGGTGGTTGGCCATCTGCAGCTCGCCACATTACAGTTTATTTTCATTAGATACCCACTTCCCTATGCTCTCCTATCTAATAATTGGAGGGGGGTAGTAATGGTCCAGAATGGTCTTTAAAGGAAACCTTTGCTTTGCTACACGTAAGCAAATTACTTTCCTCTACAATTCTAGTCGCTCATAAAGATCTATCTGGCTGACGAAGGCAACAATGGACACCTTGTGCCGTGTTTTTAATTTTAGAAATATCAATGGCTGATCTGTTCACTTTCACTTACAGTCAAGTATGTGCTTGCTTATGGTCTGTGAAGAGACAGACCTCACTATGCTAGGAAGGTAAAGATTGGCAACATGGTTTAGTACTTTTATTCCTCACTACGTTACATGCTATACTGCAACACAGATGTTCCTTCAAGAGAATGTCTTCTTAGCCCCCTTTGGCATATAACATAAGGAACATCATCTACCCAATGGCTCAGCATTATTTCGGCACCACATCTCTTATTATCCAGCTGTCACTGCGGGCCACAGTTGGAAGTAATTGGAGTTAAAATGACAAACTGCCGTGAATAATGACGTTTCTCATTACTGGCCTATTCATCGGCTGTAATCGGCCAACATTCAAAGTTTTTTTTGTTTCTTTTTAAATGCAATGTTTTCTAAATTGCGCCTCTCTCTCGCTCTCGTCATATCTGAGCTTTGACTCCCGCTCCTTTCGCCGACGTGACCAGCGACGCACAAAAAACTCAGAATGCCCATCGCTTTGTCAAAGACATGATTATGTATTTGCTGTCAGAGAAGATGTGTTGCGTTTATTCATCACCTGTCAAGACATCAAATCGCGCAAGCCAAACTCTCCGCTCTATTTAAAATCGAAATCGCTTTATTATGTCGCATATAACATTTGCAAGTAAAACATTTTCTTGTCAGGACTCAAAATATTTGAATTTTCACTTTTCTAAGTGGAAACAAATTTGACCTTTTCTTAAAGCTTACCTGTCAAGTGGAAGTTTAAAAATGTGGGCGTCATTTACACATGAGAACGTAGCATTTAAATTGGCACAAAAGAACACAGCTATTACCGTCTGGTATGTCTGATTTTGGTCCCAGTCCTTTTTATGGCTCGCTCTGCATATGCTGATGGCTTTGGCTGCCTAAACACCTGGAGCGATCAGTTCCTGACCTGATTTCAGTAATGCTTCCTACAGGAGATGGCCAGAGACTGCGAACATGCCACAGTAGATGGTCAGAGACTGCAGACATTCAACAGGAGATGGCCAGAGACTACGAACATGCCACAGGAGATGGCCAGAGACTGCGAACATGCAGCAGGATATGGCCAGAGACTCCAAACATGCAACACGAGATGGCCAGGGACTGCACACATGCAACACGAGATGGTCAGAGACTGCAGACATTTAACAGAAGATGGCCAGAGACTGCAAACATGCAGCAGGATATGGCCAGAGACTCCAAACATGAGATGGCCAGAGATTGCAAACATGCCTCAGGAGATGGCCAGAGACTGCGAACATGCAGCAGGAGATGGCCAGAGACTGCAGACATTTAACAGGAGATGGTCAGAGACTGCAGACATTCAACAGGAGATGGCCAGCGACTACGAACATGCCACAGGAGATGGCCAGAGACTGCGAACATGCAGCAGGATATGGCCAGAGACTCCAAACATGCAACACGAGATGGCCAGGGACTGCACACATGCAACACGAGATGGTCAGAGACTGCAGACATTTAACAGAAGATGGCCAGAGACTGCAAACATGCAGCAGGATATGGCCAGAGACTCCAAACATGAGATGGCCAGAGATTGCAAACATGCCTCAGGAGATGGCCAGAGACTGCGAACATGCAGCAGGAGATGCCTAGAGACTCCAAACATGCAACACGAGATGGCCAAAGACTGCAGACATTTAACAGGAGATGGTCAGAGACTGCAGACATTTAACAGGAGATGGCCAGAGACGGCGAACATGCAGCAGGATATGGCCCAGTTTTTATTGTTTAATGACAGATCAGCGTCCCCAAATGACCTGGGCGAAGCGAGCCATGAGATCAAGGCTGGCTCCACCCAGCTGTCATTTGCGTGGAGATTGGTCGGCTTCGGCCAACCTTTCTCCATGCTTCGGGTGTCACTTAGGCTCAGGCGGGCTGAAGAATATGCGTTCGGCTCGGCCGCCTTCATCTGCTGTACGGGCTATAGGATATAGACCGTATACCAGCCCTTTGGTTCGACTGAACCGAAGGGCAGAGGCGGCTGAAGCGAGCCGAAGGATCAGCCGAAGCTATGACTGGATCCTTCGGCTCTTTAGTGAATAACCCCTATATGTTTAACGACTGATTTTTTTAAATACATAACTGCAGTGGACGAGGCGTGAGATTGCCGGTGCTTCATACTGACCCCGTATTAGCCGAATAATCCTTGTGTATTTTCTGAAAATGCCTTAAGTATGATCTGTACGATTTCTTGTCTGTATTTTCTGTACTAGTTGTCTTTCTACCACTTGGAAAAAATCATAAATAATTTATAAAAAAAAAAAAAACATAACTGCATTAATTTATCTTTTTGTAGCTACCTAGAGTTGAGCTTTAAACCAAAACCTGTACCTAGTGTCTGGTGCTTGTATTTACCCTCCACACCCTCCCCTGACACCCTGTTAGTCCAAAGGTTCGAGGTTTTCTCTGGGTTAGCATTCACACAGTGCTTAGGAGCCTTCATCTACCCCCACATGACCTTAGGCTTGGCGATTGGCTGCTGTTCTATGGGATCCGGGTCATTTCTGGGGCTTCGGCAGGCAAACACAGTGAGTGGAAAATTCAAAACCACCACTAGAGGTGCATGCTGTTTAGCGAACCTAAGCTAAGTTTGCTTTAGGCAATACAACACAGACCCTGATCCATCTCCAGCCTGCTGATCGGATGATGAAGGTTGCAGAACGCTGATGAGAATAAAGGTGAAAACAAGGATTTTATTAACAAAACTAGGGCAACTGAGAGACAGTACTGCAGCAAATTAAATATCATTAATTTAGAGTTTCCATCCACTTTAAAGCGTGTGTCAATGCCTGCTCTCATCACCGTTCCATGCTGGCTGACAGCACAGCTGCGGATTCCCAGAACTCTCTGGGTTCCACTGCGCCTAAAGGAATGGAATAGCACATGTAATCACTGTGTCTTTCAAAGTTCATTACACATCACGATGTAACGGCTGAGTTCCTCTGTTATATACATGCAAATATCAATTTTGCACAGTTGTACGAGGCGGAACATCTTATAATGCATATGTATCATTGTTTTTCAGATGGAGACGGCCAACAGGATCAACTGCTACCAGCCTGCGAGGATGACAAGTGCCTGAAGAGTGTCATCTATCTCATGAAACATGGCTCCACTCAGGTTAATGATCAGTTGTTTTTCTTTTTTTTGATTAAAGAGCTCCAGGCAAAACTTTTCTTAACCCTTGCAGTGGGGCTACCCCTGCACTGCAAGGGTTAAGTGCTCGTTTTGGTCTAGGTGCAAAAGTAATAAAGTTATACTCACCCGATCCTTGGAGATGGCTGGCAGCACTTCCTCCAGTCCCTCTCCTCCTACATTCCAGTGATGTCCTTCGGTGTCCTCACATCCCATACACAGTGTATTGGATGTGATGACTCAAGGATCCTTAGACCACTGGAGCAGAGGGGGATTGAGGCTGGAAGCAGCGGTCTTAGAGCTAGCTGGCTCCAAAGATGGGGTGAGTATAACGTTCTTATTTTTGCATCTAGACCAAAATGCATTTAACCTTTGCAGTGCGGGGATAGCCCCACTGCAAGAGTTAAAAACAATTTTGCCTAGATTTCTTTTTTTTAATGATAGTGTCTCCTAATAAACCCCACCATCCCCCCAGCAAGGAATACTCACCCATTTGCGCTCCTTCTCCTGCTCCCAGCTCAATTGTAGGCCTTGTTCTATTCTGAGAGAGAGTGTGGGGGAACATGGGTCCCATGTGATGATGCTTGGACATGCCATGCCTGAACACTTTCACATTGGGTGGGGGGCAATGGCATCAATATTTGGGGTATGCTGGAACACCAGGGCTAACCCAGGGTTGACTCCGGCAGCACAGAGGTATGTGGTGAGTGAGTATACCTTTTTTTTTGGGGGGGGGGGGGAATCTGGTGGAAGTTTCACTTTCAGTGGGCATAGCATCTCTTTATGCAGACCTTTCATATTTGAGTTGACAAACCCAAAGTGTCTGAGGACCACAACTGCCTCAGGCAGTCCACTTCCCAATGTCAACCAGTAAGATGTGTTTGATGATCTCGTTCTGCAAAGGGAATATCTCATTGGCTGCTCTGGGGAAACAGGCTGTTACAAACTCGGCTTTCTTCAGACACTTTGATAACACATAACAAAGTAGAAGGCGGAGGGCAAGAAAGGTAACGCGCTCTGATTGTTTTATATTTTCCCCAATCCCAAAGGTTTCAGCACGCTTTTACATTGTTGGATTAAACCTCACTCTTACAAATACAAGGAACAAATAACAATGAGGGGAATTTATCAAAACTGGAGCAGACAAAAACTGGAGCAGCCGTGCATAGCAACCAATCAGGTTCTCTCTTCAGTTTGTTCAGTTAAGATTTGAAAATGAAAGAGAGAAGAGGTTGCCGTGCACATCTGCTCCAGTATTGATAAATTCCCCCCTGTGTGTTGTACATATACAGTGGGGGAAATGTATCAATACTAGAGCAGCGAGAATCTGGAGCAGATGCATAGCAAGCAATTGGCTACTGTCTTCAGTTTGCTCAGGTAAGATTTGAAAATGAGACAGAGAAGCCGATTTGTTTCAACAGAAATGCTTATTTATTTTTTGTTAAATGGTATTCAATCATTTTAGTATTCAGAGTTATGTAGTCATTTGCCTAAATTAGTTATTTAATACTTTGCGGTTTTAAGTGGAACATTATCAGCCAGTAGCTGTCTAATTCCAACCTCAGAATCACAGTTCACAAATCCTTTAATGATGAGGTTATTAATGTGGTCTTGTATTAGTGTGAATGTTTAATCACTTGCCATTAGCTGCCGTGTACAGACGAAAGTAGAATGGTGTACCTGCAGTGGAGTATAAGATGGCACGCTAATGCTAGAGACCATTTATTTAAAATAAATTGATGGGGCAGGTTTTCCAATTTCATATTCTTTACCCTAAAAGTTTCCGGATAGAAGCACAGACGGGTTTGGTGGGGAACAATGCTTTATCTGAGGAACGTCTTATGTCCTGATGATGTAGAGTATTGCAGGTTGAGTGGTGTTTGTATAGGCGGCTCCTCAGGCCGTACCCATTGAGGGGCCGTGGGTGAAGACTTGAGTTGTAGGAAACAAGAAGATTCAGGAAGGACAAACTGATTAGGTGGTTCAGTGCAGATGATGGGGAAGTCAGACCACTGCATGAAGTCTTCTCACATTCATGGTGGGGTTAAGGTCTGGGCTCTGTGGTGGCCAATCCATGTGTGAAAATGATGTCCACTCTTTCACAATTTGAGCCCGATGGATCCTGGCATTGTCATCTTGGAATATGCCCAATGTGCCATCAGGGAACTAAAAATCCACTGATAAAAAAAACCTGCTCATTCAGTATATTCGGGAAGGCAGCTGACTTCATTTTTTGGGGACATAATGTTGCTGAACCTAGACCAGTGGAAGGCTCCTAACTATTTGCTTAGCTCAATCCAAGCGGTGCCTTTTTTTTTTTCTTTTGACCAGGCATTTGTATATATGTATATTAGGGATGCACCGATACCGAGTACTGATATTTTCTTTTTCGGTACTCACCAATACCGGATACCGATGGCGAAAGTCCCATTAAGGAAGTCAGGCGGCGTGTAATGACTCGCCACCTGGCTTCCTGATTAGCCAGAAAACAGGGCGGCGTGTAAAGACTCGCCACCCGGCTTCCCGATTAGCAGGGAAAGCCGTCTCCATGCTTCTTGTCACTAGGTGACGAGAATGCATGGAGCTGGCTTTCTGGCCAATCTGGCAGCCAGGCGCTGTGTAATGACGCAGTGCCCAGCTTCCTGATTGGCCGGGAAACCAGCTCCAAGCTCCCTTGTCACGATCGTCTGATTGGCTTCCCGGCCAATCAGAAAGCCGGGCCCCGCGTCATGGCGCTGCGTCATTACATGGCGCCTGGCTTCCTGATTGGCCAGCTTCCCCACCAACCAGGCAGCGAGTCATTACACGCTAACCGGTTCCTGATTGGCCGGGAAGCCGGCTCCATGCTTTCTCTGGAGCCAGCTTTCATGGAGCCAGCTTCCCGGGCCATTACGGAAGACGGGCAGCGTGTAATGACTCGCTGCCCAGCTTCCTAATACCGAAAGCTCGAGTATCGAGCTAGGCATTGGAGCATTTGGGCGAGTACGAGTACTCACCCAAATACTCGGCATCGGCAACGATACTAGTATCAGTATCGGTGCATCTCTAATGTATATGTAATATATGTGCATGTCAGCCCTGAAGAAGGGCTTCTATTATCCTTAAAACGTGTTGGCCTATCATCTGCACCTAACTGCCTCGTCTGTGAAACCTTTTAGATGCTTTTTTTCTTCTACATCCCCCCCCCCCCCCATAGAAAGATGGGAGCTGCCACTGTCAATTTGCCTTCTCCAGAATTGATATTGCTTACCTTCACTGCTTGCTAAGTCAGTAATCTTGTGCAAGCACATGCATATCAGACATCCCAACACCTGGTGTGCAAATGATTGTTTTAGGTCAGTGACTCAGCAAATAGTGACAGAAGGACGGGGATGACAGCGCGAGAGTATGGACCTTTAGAAATGTCAGCAATGACGGCTTTCATATTTATTCAGCAAAGTTTTTGTTTTTTTTACGGAATTAGTAAAAATGATATCTTCTTCTTTTGGCCGTGGATCAGGTAACTAAACATTTACATTTTTCTTCCAATTAAGATTCCAGTCCGCTCTTTAAAATGGTCATCTCCCCTCGCAGAGGAAGGGGTATTTTTTTTTTACTCCTCTCCATCTTCTCCTCCAGCCAGTGTTACAAATAAGAGAGTTTCATTATCTGGCCCGGAAGCTGTCCCCAATCCCTGTATTAGCTGCATTGACAATAGAAGCCAAAGATATGATAATATAGGTCAAACAGGAATCTTCGGCTGTATAAATTTAGACTTCAGCGCTGTATAAATTTAGCTTTCCTTACCCCAATCTCATTTCGTTTGTTCAGAAATATCCACTTGTAAGCCTTTAACGTTCTGCCAGTCTGCCTTGTACATTTTAACACTTTGGTATTAAAATAACACTGAAGAAAAACTGCTGCTAGCAGGGGGGAATGGAAACCTAATGTTGACCTGCGAGCGGTTGAATTTTTAGAAATAGAAGGACCTCCTGACACCCTCATTATCTGGAAAATCTTGTTTTCTGCACCCCTCTGAAACTGCTTTGATTCTGTTGCTAATAGTACAGTCTTCCCTTACCCACCGGTCAGTCCTCTTCCAATGGAAACACCCTTCTTAGCCAATTATTATTATTATTATTATTATACAGTATTTATATAGCGCCAACAGTTTGCGCAGCGCTTTACAATATAAGGAAGACATTACAATCACAATACAATTCAAGATGGTAAGGAGGGCCCTGCCCCTGAGGGCTTACAATCTAAAAGGGAGGGGCAAGTGATACATGAGGAGGTAGCTGTGTGGGGATAAATTGTTTGAGAACGTGATGGTTCTGTGGTTAGGTTGAGGTGGGATAGGCTTCCCTGAAGAGATGAGTCTTATGGGATCGCCTAAAGGCAGTCATTGTGGAAGATAGACAGACAGATTGGCATAGGGGAGTTGCAGACACTAAGCGGTTGGTAAGGTGAATGAGTCTAGCAGCTGCATTCATGGTAGACTGAAGGGGGGATATCCTGTGTACTCGAAGGCCAATGAGGAGAGAGCTACAATAGTCAAGACGAGATATAACAAGTGAGTGGAGGAGTAATTTTGGGGTTTCATTGGTGAGGAAGGGGCGTATTTTGGAGATGTTACGAAGGTGAAGGCGGCAGGATTTGGATAGGGATTGGATGTGGGGAAGAAAGGTGAGGTCCAAGTCAATGGGGGAAGGTGCCAATGAGGTGCTTTCATCATACAGATGGGTAGGACTTATTCAAGAAATGTAAGCCCCAGTTAAAGAGAGTCTTACCCATTCAGTAATGTCTCTTGAACACCTGCCCAAGCAACATATACTCACTGATCCATGTTTCCTCGCTGCATCCCCGCTCCATCTGACTCCTTGCTCTGTTGTTCTAACGAAGCAGGGCTTTCATATATTGAGATGAACATGTGACCTCCGCCATCTGACATTGCTTAGGCCTGAGTGGCCATTCTCCAGGCCCGAACACTGTTATGTTGGTGGGGCGGTGGTAGCGACGTGTTCCATTGGGGTATGCTTCTACATCATCTGACACCAGAGCCTACCCAGGGTGGACTCCTGCATCAGGTGGCAAGGGAGCACAGACCTGTTAGTATACTCTGGTGGGTATGGGACATCGGGAGGCATTGTCACTTTGCCCTGAGTGTCATAGAGGCAGGTGACAGTGTCACCTTAACTCTCCAACATCCACAAAACACTTATAAATCAGTCTTGAATGGACTGACCCTTTGATAATGTCACACTCTCCTGGCAATGTGAAAGGGAAATGTGGTTAGTATGGAGGAAGACTCATTTCTTAAAGGAGAACTATGAGGCGAGTGCTTTTCACTCACCTCATAGTTCTAGCCGACCTGTGACAATGCGACTGTCACAGGTCGGCTCGGTAGATCGGGAGGTGAGCGAACACATACCGGCGTTCGCTCACCTCTCGATCCTGTCACGGCTCTCTGCCGTGACAGGGGAGGGGCTGGATTCCCCACTCCCCGCTCTGATCCGCCAGCGCTGACTGGCGGAACGGACGGGGGAGGGGGCGGGTACAGCTGGCTCTGCCTCTAGATAGCCAGAGCCAGCTGTCACTCACGCAGCTGGGCGGATCTCGACATCAATGTCGGGATCCGCTCCGGCTGCGGCGTCTCAGTATACCGCGAGCTACTGAGCTTAGGGTAACGGGAGGACGCTAGTTTGTGTCCTCCCGTTACCCTAAGGAGAACTATGGGGAAAAGCCAAAGCCCCATAGTTCTCCTTTAAAGTAAGCCTGTGCCCAGACTATGCACACTGAAGCATTAGCATTTTATGAAGAAGTACTTTGTAACACAATCCCTCAATCACCTATGTAGCTATAGGCACTGTGGAGAAATTCATTTTTAAAATTCACAACAGGGGCACTGCAATCTTAGCTTAGCTACTTTCTGTGGAGAGCAGAACCTTGGCAGGGCTGTAAACCAACTTTAGAGCATTGTTGTGATATTGAGAATAAATGACTGCGTAGTACATGCAGCTAGATAAGTTAGGGTTGGCTCATTTTACAGCTCTTTTACTGCTCGTTAAGAATATGCAAATGTTTTAGGCCCCATTCCCACCTGTGCATTTTGACAAGCATTACCCTAAGTGCGACAACACGCAAGATGAAGAATTCCAATATTTACAATGGGCCTGTTCAAACCTGAGTGTTGTGTTGCTTGTCACGTAAAGGTCAGAAAAGTACATGAGCCTCTTTTGGGGCAGAATTACACCTTTTTGTCTCCATAGACCAGCGCCTGAAAAGCACACAGGGGTAGTCCCCACTGCAAGGCTTAATTTTTCTAAAACCTGGAGAAATAGTCACCCAGTCATCAGTCCCACCTGGCTGCTATATCAGTCCCCGCAGCCTCTTCTTCCCCGGGCTCTGGTCTAAGCCCCGGCTGATATTATCACTAGGGATGCACCGATACCAGTTTTTCAGTATCGAGTACGAGTATTGATATATTTTTTTCGGTACTATCAGATACCGAATACCAATACCAGTGTTCTATCAAAGATTGTGACTGGGTTGGAGTGTGTGACTGGTCATGTGGTTACACATTTTAACGTGAAGAATTCCAACGCTTTCTCAGCTGTTCCAGGGCAGATCGGCATCGTAGATGGTATGTCCAGGAGAACCGATCTGCCCTGGAACAGCTGATTGGTCCTGAAATGTCACTTCTATCCGACTCTGTGGAATGTGAGATCGTAGTCACAAAGTCACATTTCAGGACCGATCAGCTGCTCCAGGGGAGATCGGTTCTCCTGCACATGCGATTTGCGCTGCCGATCTGTCCTGGAACAGCTGAGAAAGCTTCAGAATTCCTCACTTTTTGTCGATCACATATTCGACCACCGAAAAAGTGGGCGTGATTACGTTAAAATGTGTAACCACATGACCGGTCTCACATTCCAACCCAGTCACAATCTTTGATAGACCACTGGTATCGGTAAGTGACGAGGAAGCATGGAGCCGACTTTCTGACCAATCAGGGAGCCGGGGGGCGGGTAATGACTCACCCCCTGGCTTCCTAATTGCCCAGCTAGGCGGGGAGTCATTACATGCTGCCCGGCTTCCTGATTGGCCGGGAAGCCGGCTCCATACTGCCTCGTCACTTGCTAAGAGACCCGGTTTCCCAGCCAATCAGGAAACCGGACAGCATATAATGACTCGCTGCCTGGCTTTCTGATACTGGTATCGGGCTAGGCATCGGAGCTTTTGGGTGAGTACTGGTACTCGGCCAAATGCTCTGTATCGGCACCGATACTAGTATCCGTATGGGTGCATCCCTAGTTATCACATCTAATGCAAGTTGTGGGGGTAGCCCCACTGCAAGGGTTCATTTTTCTTCCTGGAGTACTTATTTATCCAAAATGGGAGGTGAAGGGAAGGGAAATCACCCAATCAGGGACACCGTGTCTGGTGACAACTGCCTAAAGGGAATTTCCTTCCACTTTAGAGAGATTTCCTTTCACTTCCTGTTGTTTGTCAGCACCAAAAACTTGATTGGGGTTCTAATTCTTCTCTTGGCTTTTGATACATTTTAATGTTTGTTACTTTGAGAGTTCCAGTGTAACGTTCTCTTGTGTTCTTTGTTTCAGTGGGTTCCGGTGTTGCAGAATATCACCAATGGAAACACACTTTGGGCTTTCATCCCACCGACCGCTTCTCTTACCCAGTCGTTGCCCATGTCCCTTCATATCGGAGATTATAACATGGACGGGTACCCGGATGCCCTGGCGATTCTACGCAATGCATCGGGAAGGTTAGTGCATTTATAGGGAATTGGATGATTTCACTATTATTGGAATTTGTAGATCTTTAGGAGGAAGTAGGGTGTTATGTGTTCACGTGTTCTTACTACTCGAGCCACGTCTCCACAGTTTCCCTTCAAATTCAGCATCAGGCATGTTATAAAGATGACATGCTAGAAGTGATGGTCACAGACTGGACATGCTAGAAGAGATGGTCAGACCCAGGACATGCTAGAAGAGATGGTCAGAGACTGGACTTCATAGAATAGATGGTCAGAGACAGGACATGCTAGAAGTGATGGTCAGAGACTGGGTCATAGAATAGATGGTCAGAGACTGGACTTCATAGAAGAGATGGCCAGAGACTGGACATGCTAGAAGAGATGGTCAGAGACTGGACTTCATAGAATAGATGGTCAGAGACTGGACTTCATAGAAGAGATGGCCAGAGACTGGACATGCTAGAAGAGATGGTCAGAGACTGGGCATGCTAGAAGAGATGGTCAGAGACTGGGCATGCTAGAAGAGATGGTCAGAGACTGGACAGGCTAGAAAGGATAGTCAGAGACTGGACATGCTAGTGGAGATGGTCAGAGACTGGAATGCTAGAAGAGATGGTCAGAGACTGGACATGCTAGAAGAGATGGTCAGAGACTGGACATGCTAGAAGAGATGGTCAGAGACTGCACATGCTAGAAGAGATGGTCAGAGACAGGACATGCTAGAAGAGATGGTCAGAGACTGGACATGCTAGAAGAGATGGTCAGAGACTGGGCATGCTAGAAGAGATGGTCAGAGACTGGGCATGCTAGAAGAGATGGTCAGAGACTGGGCATGCTAGAAGAGATGGTCAGAGACTGGGCATGCTAGAAGAGATGGTCAGAGACTGGGCATGCTAGAAGAGATGGTCAGAGACTGGGCATGCTAGAAGAGATGGTCAGAGACTGGGCATGCTAGAAGAGATGGTCAGAGACTGGGCATGCTAGAAGAGATGGTCAGAGACTGGGCATGCTAGAAGAGATGGTCAGAGACTGGGCATGCTAGAAGAGATGGTCAGAGACTGGGCATGCTAGAAGAGATGGTCAGAGACTGGGCATGCTAGAAGAGATGGTCAGAGACTGGGCATGCTAGAAGAGATGGTCAGAGACTGGGCATGCTAGAAGAGATGGTCAGAGACTGGGCATGCTAGAAGAGATGGTCAGAGACTGGGCATGCTAGAAGAGATGGTCAGAGACTGGGCATGCTAGAAGAGATGGTCAGAGACTGGGCATGCTAGAAGAGATGGTCAGAGACTGGGCATGCTAGAAGAGATGGTCAGAGACTGGGCATGCTAGAAGAGATGGTCAGAGACTGGGCATGCTAGAAGAGATGGTCAGAGACTGGGCATGCTAGAAGAGATGGTCAGAGACTGGGCATGCTAGAAGAGATGGTCAGAGACTGGGCATGCTAGAAGAGATGGTCAGAGACTGGGCATGCTAGAAGAGATGGTCAGAGACTGGGCATGCTAGAAGAGATGGTCAGAGACTGGGCATGCTAGAAGAGATGGTCAGAGACTGGGCATGCTAGAAGAGATGGTCAGAGACTGGGCATGCTAGAAGAGATGGTCAGAGACTGGGCATGCTAGAAGAGATGGTCAGAGACTGGGCATGCTAGAAGAGATGGTCAGAGACTGGGCATGCTAGAAGAGATGGTCAGAGACTGGGCATGCTAGAAGAGATGGTCAGAGACTGGGCATGCTAGAAGAGATGGTCAGAGACTGGGCATGCTAGAAGAGATGGTCAGAGACTGGGCATGCTAGAAGAGATGGTCAGAGACTGGGCATGCTAGAAGAGATGGTCAGAGACTGGGCATGCTAGAAGAGATGGTCAGAGACTGGGCATGCTAGAAGAGATGGTCAGAGACTGGGCATGCTAGAAGAGATGGTCAGAGACTGGGCATGCTAGAAGAGATGGTCAGAGACTGGGCATGCTAGAAGAGATGGTCAGAGACTGGGCATGCTAGAAGAGATGGTCAGAGACTGGGCATGCTAGAAGAGATGGTCAGAGACTGGGCATGCTAGAAGAGATGGTCAGAGACTGGACATGCTGGAAGAGATGGTCAGAGACTGTGGACATTTTAGAAGAGATGGTCAGGGGGACACAAGTACCAAAGGCTCTCAGACTGGACACCAGGGTATTAATATGCACTGAGTTACACTGACAGGCTCTGTATATATTGCTGTGTCATTATATGACTGGTCACCATTGTATTTTATTTTCCTTTTCACAATGACGCAGCTCTTTCCACCATATTTACCTACATCCAGTCCTGCGGAATAGTCACGGTGCCGGCTCATTATCATTTAGATGTATTTGTTGTTGTTTTTTTCCTAGATGCTAATTATTCCATCTCTGTCATTGTGTCACATCTGACATCTCGCGGGTTGTGTTGTTCTCCTGACGTTCGTCTCCATACATTTGACTTACATCCAGTCAGATGAATTGTTTACAGTGCGCAAACTGGAAGGGACATGTTTTCTTTTCATTGATGTGACTAATCTAATGGAAAGGAAAAATAGTATTGTAATGAGAAATGGCTAATGACTGGGGCTTGAGACTCTACGTCTTCAGAAGAGTGGACTGGAGTGCATGAATCTAATCCTCCGGAGCTCAGTATTACTAGTTAGCAAAGGGGACTTCATTTGGGGCTCATTCACATGGGCGTGCACACCCCTACAGAGACCTTCTTCCTGGAGGGACAGATGCCGCATGAAGTTGCATGCAGCCACCTGTATCCAGTGGTGTCCCTAGACATTTTGCCACCTAAAGGGGGAAAGGGAGCAGGGGCACGCTTGGTGCACGCAATCAGAGCAGCGGAAGATGGTTTGGGGCTCTGCATCTCCCCACCCAGCTCTTAGCAACCTGGGATGCTCTGAGTGAATAGGGGGCGGCCCAGCTCATTGACGTCACTGGTTGCCAGGAGCTGAGCGGGACTCTCTGGCTGCCATCCTGCCCAGCTCCTGGCAAGCAGTGACATCAGTAAGCTGGGTGGTACACCAGACAGAGGTACATGCGCCACAACCTACCCAGGAACGTGCACCCCCAACACCCTTTCTCCCCCCAGCCTAAGGCAGTGAAAATTGGAGGGACGACCCTGCATGTTCTGTATCAGTTTAGCAGCTTGCATCCCACCCTATAAGGTATATTTGCCCATCTGTATTTTCCGTGCAGTGTGTCTTGGGTGTGTTTGGCATGCATTAATGAGTTTTGCTGGAAACAGTATAAAAGCGTATAAACCCAAAAACAAACATGCAATAAAGTGCAGCTTACCAGTCCTTAGATGTGGTGGCTGTATTAGTTTTTTTTTTTTTTTTAAGCTTAACATCAGTGGTTGGCAGGAGCTGGGCGGGACACCGGCCAGAGCGTCGCAGGTTTCTAAGAGCTGCTCTGCCAGCCGCCCCCGAAACCATTACATTTTGGTCAATCTAAAGTTGATTGTACAGAGACTCTATAGTCAGATTGTAATGGAGATGGAGACCCTATAACGGGACACTCAAGGTAACATGACAGCTGTCTCTAACATTAAAGGAGAACTATGAGGTGAGTGATTTTCACTCACCTCAGTTCTAACCGACCTGTGACAATGAGACTGTCACAGGTCGGCTCAGTAGATTGGGAGGTGAGCGAACACATACCGGCGTTCGATCACTTCTCGATCCTGTCATGGTTCTCTGCCGTGACAGGGGAGGGGCTGGATTCCCCCCTCCCTCCTCCGATCCTCCAGCGCTGATTGGCGGAACGGACGGGGGAGGGGGCGGGTACAGCTGGCTCTGCCTCTAGATAGGCAGAGCCAGCTGTCACTCACGCAGCTGGGCGGATCCAGACATAATTATCGGGATCCGCTTCAGCTGCAGCGTCTCAGTATACCGGGAGCTGTAGCTCGCGGTATACTGAGCTTAGGATGACGGGGGGATGCTAGTTTGTGTCCTCCCGTTACCCTAAGGAGAACTATGGGGAAAAGCCTTAACCCCATAGTTCTCCTTAAGGTCTCATTCACACCTAGGCGTATTGCATATGCGCGTCTGTCGCACGTTTTTTTAACCGTGATTCGCGGTAAAAAAGTTGCGCGTTTCCGAAGGCTACTTGGCTGTATCCCAATGGAAACGCGCTACAAAACGGCCCAAAGTGGTACCTGGACCTTTTCAGGCGTGGGCCGTTTTGTAGCGCGTTAGGGACGGGCGGAAATACGCCAAGGTGGGAACGAGACCATTGAATACAATGGGATTTATATTTTTGAGCGTTTTGTAGAGCGTTCGTCGAGCGTAGAACGCGCTACAAAACATTCAGGTGTGAACGAGGGCTTAAAGTCTCTTGTAACACCCATCTCCCTATAAGTCTCTGCCACCGGTGAAATCTCGCTTCTGGCAAAGCTACAAACTCTACCTGTCCACTAAGGTGAGAAGACCAAGCAAGTTCTAAAGTTAGTAGATAGCAGGATTGTAGGTCATATTTAACCGGTTGGTCTTCATAAACAGAACCATCCAGGTCTCTAGTTTTCTATTTACTTTGAAGGCATTTTGTTTTCATTTTGTCATTTTCATGTTCCGGAATCATTGTGTAATTGCGTAGATAGTTCCAGTTCTCGGCCAACCCGGCACTTCCATATACCGGGTATCTCCGGACATCCGCAGTGTCTACTTCATGTCCTAATAAACGATAATATCTCAGCACAACAAGATCAGCACGGCCTGTCCTCCGTGTGACCATTTGGCTCCAATTAGCACACTTCTCATCGAGTACTTTCCTCCATGTTTTCATACTTGAGGGATTTATTTGGGAACATGAGCCTAGAACCGCCTGCCTGTCTTGAAGAATTCCTTCACAGGCTGTAATTACTTCTCCTCTTCTCAGGGCTGGCACCGCGGAATGGGTTCTGCCAGCCAATTGTGCCTCCCCCTGTAATTATTTCATCAAAATGTCACAGACAATTTGCAGCGCAATATAATAAACCCATTATTGTTTGTTATGCGTCT